TGCCATTGGAGGACTGCCGAATATCTACACTCCAACACTTTCCCGTCACAAAATAAATATATAATATATATATATATATATATATATATATATATATATATATATATATATATATATATATATATATATATATATATATATATATATATATATATGCACAACTCTCCTAAACACGAGAGTGAAGTTATACAACTTTAGAACACTATCCCACCAGGAGACTCGAACCCTAGCCAGCACAGAAGCCTTCCAGCAACTGGCATAACAGGTACGCCTTTAACCCACTCCACCACCGCTCAGACCCTTAAAAGAGATGGTAATTTCGGAGTATTTATACACACCAAAGACCACCATCTCCCAAGAGCACTAGAGCAAGTCAGGGGTCATTTTTACGTTTTTCATCAAGTCCCTGTTAATATGGGAGAACACTGTGTCTATGCTTGATGCACAACTCTCCTAAACACGAGAGTGAAGTTATACAACTTTAGAACACTTTCCCACCAGGAGACTCGAACCGTAGCCGGCACAGAAGCCTTCCAGCAACTTGTGGACCCAGTACTGATGACATCATTACAGGCAAAGTATAATAGAATTTTTTGGTACATTTTTGCAGACATCAGTGTGGAATGTTTGACAATATTGTAAGGAAACCAAATACTTAACAAGTTAATAATTCAAAACCAAATTAATATGATATTGCAAGATTTATTGTTGGGGTCCCCCGTCAGAACCATGTCACATGGCTCTCATATCATTGATTCCAAACCTGATCCACACATGTTGGGCACGTGCCCATCAGCAATTACTGTTAAAAATTAGGTGAGGCTAACCCCAAGTGTCTGGCCTCTAGTCTTGGACACATTCTAATTCATAGAAATAGATATATATTACTAAGAAATAAAGAGAGTGGAAATGCCGACCGCAATGAGGGCTATTAATCACCCTTGAAGCAATATCTACCTGATGGAGGCGATGGCAGCGAACTTTTGTGGCTGACAAGACACAGGTGGGGATGATATTCATGCAGCCTGATTGTAACTGGAACACGTATACGCGAATGACGAAACATCCGTGTTGAAGTTGATATCTTGCAGATATCATTTGACCGTTCCCTTTACTCTCTTTCATCCTCTCTCAACGTCTCTCATACTCTCCTTACACCCTTCCTCATACTCTCCTTACACCCTTCCTCATACTCTCCTTACATCCTTCCTCATACTCTCCTTACAACCGTATCATTCTTCATATTCTCACCCTTAATATTCACCTTCACTCTCCCTCATGCTTAACCTCCCTCTTAATCTCACTCATATTCTCTTTCACTCTCCCATATATTCTCCTTAGCCCACACTCATACGTTTCCAACCCGTCCATATATTCCTCCTCATATTCCACCTCCCACATACTCTCCCTCACCCTCATACTCTCCCTCACCCTCCCTCATACTCCATGTTCCCCATCGTCACTGATTTTCATTCACGTGTTGCTTCATGAGGGAGGCGTTGTCTGGCTCGTGCCTCGACACTGTCCAGAGACCCTTACAACCAGGGATCGAAACAATGAGAAGAGAGGCAATGAACACATAAAACATCTCATCTTATTTCCGGCAGACTCCTACGGTGACGCCCCAGGCGTTGTTGTGTCCCTGTGGTGGTGTGGTGGTGGTGTTGTGGGGTGGTGGTGATGGTGTGGTGGTGGTGGTGTGGTGTGGAGGTGGTGTGGAGGTGGTGTGGTGGTGGTGTTGTGGGGTGGTGGTGATGGTGTGGTGGTGGTGTGGTGGTGTGGTGTGGTGGTGGTGATGGTGTGGTGGTGGTGTGGTGGAATGGTGTGGAGGTGGTGTGGAGGTGGTGTGGAGGTGGTGTGGAGGTGGTGTGGTGGTGCTGTGGTGATGGTGTGGTGGTGGTGTGGTGTGGTAGTGTGGTGGTGGTGGGTTGGTGGTGTGGAGGTGGTGTGGTGGTGGTGGTTTACTCACCTAATTGTACACACCTAATTGTGCTTGCGGGGGTTGAGCTCTGGCTCTTTGGTCCTGCCTCTCAACTGTCAATCAACTGGTGTACAGAGTCCAGAGCCTACTGGGCTCTATCATATCTACATTTGAAACTGTGTATGGAGTCAGCCTCCACCACATCACTTCCTAGTGCATTCCATTTATTAACTACTCTGACACTGAAAAAAATCTTTCTAACGTCTCTGTGGCTCATCTGGGTACTAAGTTTCCACCTGCGTCCCCTTGTTCGTGTCCCACCCGTGCTGAAGAGTTTGTCTTTGTCCACCCTGTCAATTCCCCTGAGAATTTTGTAGGTGGTTATCATGTCTCCCCGTACTCTTCTGTTTTCCAGGGTTGTGAGGTTCAGCTCCCTTAGCCTTTCCTCGTAACTCATTCCTCTCAGTTCCGGGACCAGCCTGGTGGCATACCGCTGAATCTTCTCTAACTTTGTCTTGTGTTTAACTAGGTATGGACTCCAGGCTGGAGCTGCATACTCCAGGATTGGTCTTACATAAGTGGTATACAGTGTCCTGAACGATTCCTTACACAAGTTTCTAAAGGCAGTTCTTATATTGGCCAGTCTAGCATATGCCGCTGATGATATTCCTTCGATGTGGGCCTCTGGAGACAGGTTCGGTGTGATATCGATCCCCAGATCTTTCTCTCTATTTGACTCTTGTAGGATTTCACCTTCCAGATGGTACCTTGTGTTCAGCCTTCTGCTCCCTTCGCCTAATTTCATTACTTTACACTTTCCTGAGTTGAACTATAAGTGGCTCAGTGGGCGATGTGATCATCCAGGACCAGACTCGCTCCCCCACGTGCAGACCGTCCTGGACCCTGATAACGTCATCGCCGTCATATAACCAAAACACACAGAGTGGCTGATGACGCAGTCGGCGGCATGCATTACTTGTGGCTGAGTCTTATATATAAACATTGTGGGTGAAAGAGTTAACATTCGGCTGTGTGCTTACCGGAAATGCTCGGCCTACCCCCCCTCACCCTGGTGCGTTATGGGACTGTCATGGCATGCCAGGACTGTTATGGCATGCTAGGACTGTCATGGCACGCCAGGACTGTCATGGCATGCCAGGACTGTCATGGCACGCCAGGACTGTCATGGCACACCAGGACTGTCATGGCACACCAGGACTGTCATGGCACGCCAGGACTGTCATGGCACGCCAGGACTGTCATGGCACACCAGGACTGTCATGGCATGCCAGGACTGACATGATATGCCAGGCACGCCAAGGTGTTGGCGGTCGGTTAGTCGGGTGACGGTATAGCTCAACAAAACTCCTCACCTGCTCACAATATATCTATGAAAATGTTACATCGTAACACATATCGACAACATATATAGTTCAATTGTAACACATGAAATTAAATTGTGATTAAAAACTCTTATCTTCGCTCGTGGTGTTGTCCTGCAGAATAACGATTTAATCCTCGACACAGAAATTATTGACCAAAAATGATGTGCTAGCAAAAAATAACTGAACTCTGCACTTTTCTGCAGTTGTTGCAACTATTGCTTTTGTTATGAGTCTGCTGCTGCCTTGGGGTAGGACGTGAACTTGTCGAGTTGGGAGTGAACAATGTGAGGTCACGGCCCACCTCTCGACCACAGTCATGTGTTGTTATTTCTTAATTGCCGGAACCGAAGGTGATAATTGCTCAACTCCACGAGTATAAATTTGCTTCATAAATTCGGGAAAACATTGACACGTCTCATTTTGTCCCCGGGTGGTGATGGCTGCCCCGTAACTATGGCTACTCCTCCCCCTTCCTCGGGTCGCGTCTCTAAAATGTTGTTCTCTTTGAGCTTTGTTATTTATTGGAAGGAGGAGATTATTCTATCTCGATAACTAATAATTTAGTAAAGTGTAATTTGTTCATTTCAGTCCTGAGATTGTTGTATTACGTATTTGATGATTAATTATATGGGTGTCAAATTAATTTCTGCGACGTGCAAACATAATCTCATGTTGTGGAGAGAATTGCCACGTATTCACTTTCTCTTAATGAGTAACTAAAGAAATTAAGTTAATTTTGGATTAGTACAAGACAGCAGCAACATTATTTACATATATTGTATTAAAAGTTAATAAATGTTGTCGAAAATTTCCGACAAATGCCCCCAAGCCAATGTGCATCAGAAAACTCCTGTCCCCTGAAGGACATCCTGAGGAATTGGCAGTTGGCATGTTTGAGACTGTCATGGCATGACCGTTAATCAGGATCAACGGTCCTCATTAATGATTAACGCCAACACTGAAAGCCTCAGTGTTGGCTTTCTGTCCAGGACCTTGAAGCTGTGAGCTGAGACCGAGAGATTTCAGTACCGTGAGCTGAGATCGAACGCCACTACCAGCCGCCGCCACCAGCCGCCGCGACCGAACGCTGCCTCCAGCCGCCGCGATCACCAATTGTGGATCTACGCACCAATCAACTCTATGCTGGGAGGTGTGAGTTGTGGGATAAACTTAGTACAAACCATATATAGCGACCTGTACGTGTTGAGGTGTTAGTGTGTGTGGGAACACCTGAGAGAGAGAGAGAGAGAGAGAGAGAGAGAGAGAGAGAGAGAGAGAGAGAGAGAGAGAGAGAGAGAGAGAGAGAGAGAGAGAGAGAGAGAGAGAGAGAGAGAGAGAGAGAGAGAGAGGTATGGACAAAAGAGCCAAGCCTGGAGAGGCAGTGACAGGGCCGCACTAGTTCCCACTCAGGAAGTGGAACAACGTCCTTAGGGGAATAATCCAATCCATATCGAGAATTGTAATATCATCAGAGGAGCGAAATATCATGCTACTAACACTCAAGAATGAACTATTCAGAGACAATGCACACCAAAATAGTTTATTTACAATAAATTACAAAAGTATTTGTGTTGTTATATCACTATATACACTATATATACCATCACTCACACTGAATATACGTTTATGCTCCACCAGGAATCAGTTAGAAGTTCTAGAGGGAGTGATAATCTGGGAAGCAGTTTACACCTCACAAGGAGGCGCCGCTGCTGCTGCTGCTGCTGCTGCTCCAGGTAGTAAATATCTTCCTTCTCCCGCTTCTGTGTCTCCTTACACACAACCCACTCACACCCACCTTTGCCCATTTTTCCCTCAGAAATGTAATATTCATGCTGCTGTGTCATGATACAGTGTTTAAAGGCCATCATCATGTTTGGAGCAGCGTGAGGCATTGTTGGGGTGGCAGCGTCTCCTGTTTGCTCTTGTCCTTCTTGACCAAACCTGACGAGGAATAATGCCACAATGGCAAGACTAAAGACTCCCATTGTTGATTTTCGTCCTGATTTCACTAAATACACGTTGTAACTGTTCACATGGTAACGTCAGCACGGTGGAATAACATTTTCTTTGTCCACTTGACACATTTACGGCCGCGTTCCGCAGTGCTGCCATCATGTCACAGTTATCAACCAAACATATGTTTATTTTTTAGTCCAAGATATGTTCGGTATATATATTTTTCCTTTTGTTGTATGGTTGAACTTGCCACTGTCTACCGTCTCAACTGTGTGAATGTTTCTCACCATATTGACTTCCTCTATATAAGGCACCGCTAACATTTCGTCAACTTTCTTAGCTGTTATTTACTTAATGAAATAATTTCGACAGTCATTTATATCGCCTTATGACTTTACTGTGCCACAGACTCCCGTCTTATGCTTGAGTAGGAAGGAACCTAGTTAGTAAGGGGGCAGTATAATATTTGTCTGTATATGTATTTGTTCAGTAGTGGAGCCATCAGTGTCCTTACCACGCTGCATGGAAAAATACTTGACGATCGCCCTTACTAGTGTCATAGGAGTCCAAGTCTGTGTAAAGAGAAGACGAGCAGTGAGAAAGATCAAGACAGGAAAGGGTGTGAGTGAGAGAGTCCACATGAGTGGGTTCACCAGAATTCAGAAGAGACAGAGAAGAAGAGAGGACAAATGGATCAAGGAGGCAGCCCCGGGTGTTCGTCAGAGCATCACCCCACAGGGTATGCCAACAGTTGAAATCACCCAACAGGAGCACAGGATCTAGTAAGGTGTCCAACAGGTGCCAATCTAGGATCTAGTAAGGTGTCCAACAGATCAGGAAGAGAATGCGGGACATTTGGGGGAGATAAATGGGACGGACAGGATCAGGAGCTGAAGGAGGAAACGGAGAGGAGCGGTCAAGGGAATCAGGGGGAAAGGAGGGGGGGGCAGAAACAGAGAGAGCATCAGAGGCTAAAGGAAACATCATAGTCGGGACAGAGGGCTCGACCACCGAAAAGGGAGGGGATGCAGTGTTAAAGTCGGAGGGTGGGGAAGTAGGCGACGCCTTCTTACCTGCCGGAGAGGAGGAAGGAGAGGAGCCAGGCTAACGTTTCTGAATCAAAGAGACAGGTTTGCCAACAATAACGTACTGGGCGACAGCCTCCCTCCATAGTTTCAACAGGAGAAGGAGAGTGGGAGCAACTAACAGGAAGAGTACTGGGATGATGATGGACAACAGACAGGCAGTGTGGAGAGTCAAGGAACGGGGGAAGGGCTGGGAAGAAGAATCAGAGGGGAGACGGGAAAGAAGATACAAGAGACTTGGCAGACTGGGAAGAAAGGAGGGAAATACCAGAAATATCAGATGGAGAACCAGGAGAACCCTGTGTTTCAGAACGTAAGGGAGCTTACCAGACCAGATCTATTCTAGATCTGGTCTTTACGAACAATGAAGACATTATCAGAGACATTACAATATCAGATACCACATACTCAGATCACAAACTCATTGAAGTGCAAACGACCATCAATACTCAGAATAGACCTAAAACGTTGATAAAGCGAGAGGGGCTATTCAGTAAATTCAATTTTAATAACAAAAGGATAGACTGGGAGATAATAAACAGGGAACTTACAAACATTCCATGGGGAACTGTTCTAAATAATACAAGTCCTACAGAAGGAATAGAAAAACTGACTTCAGAATCGTATCAAGTCTGTCTGAAACATGTTCCTTTGAGGAAAGCCAGAAAGAGATCTAACGTAGAAAGAGAACGCAGACGACACTATAAACGCAGGAAAAAAATAACGGAACTGCTTATGCAGACACGAATTTCCCGTCAAAGAAGGAATAATTTAAATAGGGAGATTGAAGAAATCGAGCGGAAATTGAAACACTCATATGAAACTGAAGAAAGGCAGTTAGAACAGAAAGCAATTCAGGAAATAAAGAAAAATCCAAAATATTTCTTCTCATATGCGAAATCAAAAGCAAAAACCACTGCCAGTATGGGACCTATTCGTACAAGTGAAGGTTCATACACGGAGGAGGACAAAGAAATTAGTGAAATCCTAAAAAAGCAGTATGAGGACATGTTTAGCACTCCAATAAACAACATGAAGGTGGAAGTTCCAGACAATTTCTTTATGCGAGATATTCAAACCCCTGTAAATATAACCGATATAAACACGAGCGCACTAAATTTTGAAAAATAAATTGAAAACATGCCCATGCACTCGGCCCCAGGTCCAGACTTATGGAATTCAATATTTATAAAGAAATGCAAAGTGCCGGTAGCACAGGCACTCAGTATAGTGTGGAGGAAGAGCTTTGACACGGGGGAGATACCAGATGCACTTAAAGTAGCAGACATAGCCCCTCTACACTAGGGAGGGAGCAAAGCATTGGCAAAAAATTATAGACCAGTTGCACTAACATCGCACATCATAAAAGTATTTGAGAGAGTGATTAGGAGTCAGGTCACCAATTTCATGGAGACCAATTGTCAGGGGACATATTTTCCCTGCTCTCTCGTGCACTGAATTGAGTACGAAATTGCATAGTGCACCAGTGATGTGCACCGTGATTCAACTTTCTGTATATAACTTTTGCACAGTCGTGTTGGGTGTCGTTGGACAGCCCGCGACATTTGCTAGCCATTGATGTCATTCTGATCGCTGTATCAGGTCTGTGAAGGAAATTACAGGAGGGAGTTGATTTCAGGGGATTTTTGTACAAGTCAAGTGTAGAGAGTGAGGTATGGGGGGTTAACGGCCGTAGACCACCCCCCCCCCTATCACGTGTCCACCTTGTGTGTGAGTAGGGGTAGCGTCATGGGGCAGGTGCGGGAGTGGCTGAGGGCCTGGGTCCTCAGAAATGCTGAACCGTGATTGGCCAAGACGCTGAGGGGTGCCACATGGGTACCCCAGGCATGATATTGGCGGGAAACGACATTCTTACCTACGACGTTGCTGCCTGTGGACAGGACATTTCCCATGCTAGGCAAGCATCGGGAAATATCCGCCTGCAACGTTGCTAAAGTCACGCCAACATCTTGCTATCTTTCCGTGTGCCGTGCGTAAGAATCCGGTAATCGGAAAAGGGGCTTGTATCGAGCCGTGTGAACTTGTCATCTAGCCGCGTAATTGTGGGACGCCATCTTAGAGGAGCTGGACTGAGTGAGGCATTAATTATCGGGCTACAAAAACGACATCCGCCGTCGATCGTATCTGTGCTTGAAGATACTGCTGTGAGACGTGCTAGAAAGGGTTTCAGTGAGAGAGAGAAACCTTAAATGTTATAATTCTGAGGAACAGTGAAGGACTCCATCTCGTATACCGTCGTGACACCGTGTACCGTCGTATCCTGGGGTACCGTGTCAAGTGGGAAGGGCGTGGTACCGCATCCCTGCTGTTGTGTGCAACCCTGGCTTGCCTAAGCCGGTGTATCTGTGCCATCCTGGTCTCTGTGTGTGTGTAGAGCTAACACCCGTGGTCTGGGACCCTGTGCTCCACCTGACCACGTGTAGGAAGTGAGGACGCCTACGTCATCATCCAGCAGCAGCAGTGGGAGTGTGATTGACGTGTATGTGTGAGTGAAAGAGGGGCGCCACATCATTGATGTAAGTACACTGTTTCCGTTTGGGTAATAAAACTCTGAAGCTGGGTTCGCCCCCAGTGTCCGTCTGTCCTCTGTCCCTGGGACCACCTGGGGAGGTGAATGGGAATTGGAGACGTGTGAGTCTACCCTGTTTGTCATCAAGTTGAGGATTGGGCCCAACTGGGATTTATGACGTGTGTGAAGACACCTAGTGACACATTCAGAGGTAAAGTGAGTTATTTACTTCTATGTTTTTTTTCTATGTGTCGTGTATGTATTCGCTGTAATTTGATTCCCTTTTTCAGCAGTGAAAAGTGGTAACAGGGAGATTTCCCTTGGTTATATATTTTACTGTTGTGTTGTGGTAAAGTGTGAATTATTGGTGGATGATTTACTGGGGGAAGTCATTTACAAGTTTTGCCGTGAGTGGCAAGGATGTACTGTGATGTACTGTGTTGTACTGTGTTGTACCATGTGTAAACCGTAGACAAGTTTGACCTTGGTGGAAGGCGTTGTGTACTGTGAAGGATTCCGTGAGAATTAAAGTCAGTTGACGTCACCGGGGGTCACGATTTACTTAACGAGGTCACTTGTTCGTTGAACATTGTTGTGATTAACATAGGGACGTGTAAAGGCAACAGTCACAGTGAAGTTCACGCAGTGGAGGAATTGTCAAGTGAAGACTAACGTAGTGTTAACGATTTAACGAGCTGTCGTTAATTGAGGGATTAACGTAAAAGGGGTTGACGGTCTGTTATGATCGGAGTCAATTGCGCTGTAATTAAGCTGTTGTAATTCGTTGGACTGGTCAGCTCTGTCTGCGGACAGAGTGATTAAGCACTCGTAGCTAATTAAAGATAATTAGTAATCGCCACTTAGTGAATTCACCAGGTGTTGATGTTGTTGTTTACACGGAGTATTGGAACATTGTGTGTGGTACAGTAGTCTACCCTCGTTAAGGTAATCTTGTCGTAAGACCGGAAGTGAACTGTCAGTTGAGAGATGTTCTTCTTCCTTCTATTGATACTCGTCCCTCTTTCTGGCTTCGCTATGTTGATGACATTTTTGCTTTATGGCCTCATGACCTTAATCTTTTCCAGCCTTTCCTCGCCTCTCTTAACAACCTGGCTCCTTCTATCCATTTCAAAGTTGAGTGGGAATCTAATTCCCTCCTTCCTTTTCTTGATGTTCATGTTCACAGCTCTGTGTCTGGGTTCTCTTTCTCTGTCTACCGTAAACCCATGCATAGTGGCATGTACATTCACTTCTTTTCCTACCATCCTCTTTCTGTTAAGAAAAGTGTCCTCGTCTCTCTCTTCCTCCGCGCTCTACGCATCAGTGACCCTCAGTTTCTTGATTCTGAAATTGCCTTTATCTACAAATCATTCTCTCGCCTTGGTTATCCTTTGCATTTCATCAACTGTGCCCA